TAAGAAGTTTCTAGAATAGTCTTCCATTTACTACAGTAATCATAATCTAGCAACTTCAACAATAAAGATCATTCCAGAAATTTCTATCTAAATATAATGCATGAGTTTTCTACAACAGTTAAGAACGTTCTAGTACATACATGTAGTTTATGTTCTAAAAATAGAACAATGATAATATTGGAAATACCAACTGGTCAGATATAAATTATATACATGTAATATGTTGCATACATAACATCACATCAAAATGTTAATGTAATATCTACCAGTAACACGAGAATCGCAAAAATCAAAACTTGTTACGGAAATTGACAGAAACCCGCCCGCCATTATCGGAAACACTCGTGGTAATTAATTATGCATCCGTAAGTTCACGTTCAAAGGTCATCTATCAAAATGGCGGAACAACAATCAGACAGCGACAATGAAAGTTCTATGGTAAGTGTACGAGTTTCTGATGTAGAAATGGGAAATATATTAATCAATTTTTGTCGATTCAAAATCGAATAAAATGTGAGAATTAAGAGATGGGCTGGTTCGACAGATCCTTCATAATTTCGGTGTAAACTGTTGCCGTGTTTGGGAGATAAAAAGAAAATTACGAAGCGTAGGTAATAATGCATTTTTGCGTGTTGAAAAAATTATAAACGGCACTGAATTTATCATACTTGATAGCGGGATGGTATAAATTATTCTTTCACGTTCAAATGTCTTTTATAGAATTTATAAAAGTAGAATAATTGGATAGAAAAATTTATACGATTCGCTCACACAATCTTCGACCCTTTTACAGTTTTAGTAATTCTGGCGAAGCACAGGGACACGTTTACAAAATATGTTATTGTTAAGTGAAAACAAATTTTTTCAAATGTCAGGATTTTGTAAATAAGATATAATGTAATGGAAATAAAATCAAATATTTCTGACCTTGATATATTTTTAAAAAATATTACAGTATTTTTGAGAGAAAAAATATGACCATCTATTATGCTCTTTGCATACAGGACAAATATTTGTAAAGAATAAATATGAGCTATATATTCACTGACAACATCCTTATTTATGCATACATGATAAACATAACTTACATAATTCCACATAAGATGATTATGTGAATTTCAATTAGGTTAAATAAGACAAGTTACCTTTACTTCACCTGGTCTATATATGTTGCTTGAGCTATGTTACTGTCAAAAGAAACAGTATTTTGTCCAATTCAGTTTACTTAATTGTTCACTTAACATTCCATTTATATTAACAGAAATGTACAAATGGTGACAATTTAGTTGCCAGTTTTAATCTAATTCTTATCTATTCAAGATTGAAACGTCTGCATCAGACAGTCCGGTATCTGTGTCTATTGGAGATGTGAACATAACTGGGAGGGGGAGAAGAGGGAGTAGAGGTAGATCTGGGGGTAGAGGACGCAGAGCAAGAGGTCAGAGTAGAGGAAGAGGTGGTGGGTCAAGGAGCAGAAGTCGGATTAGAGCAAGGGCATCAGGAAGTAGAGTTGATAGAAGGGAAGAAGAAGCATTAGAAAATGTCAACAAACGTTAAGAAACATTAATGGTAAGACTCCTTATATACTTGTTCAAATTCATGACAAACATGCATCAATTTACTCAGTTTAGAAAGCATATGATGATTACATTGTATACAAGATTACATTATAAAATTATTGAATCATAAGTCTGCATTCATGCCTTTAACTATTCATTAATGCGTTCATTGATAATAAGATTCTTGGTTATTAAAATTCATTGTTAAACATATGGGAGAATACCTTTATATAATTCTTTTTTTTCTATAAAGAATGAGGTGAATGAAATGTCAGATGAGGAAAGAAAGGAACTATGCCAGAAGCTTGTTAGGGAATATCCATACATGATTCTGGAAATCCTTAAACCAGCCACAAGACATCCTGGAGGATATCACCCAGGACCTGGCCAAGCTTCACCAGACTGGTGTGTCTGCAGGCATTGCAGGGAAATGCCTACACAAGTTGAGAGGCAGTGTTGTGGGAAGGAAAACTGTGTTACTCTCTTGCCGGTATTTATATATTATTTTCTTTCTACAAGCTACCAATGTATTAATTGATATACTTCTTTGAAGTATTTTCAGTATTACAGCAATTTGCTGTATGAAATGAATAGGACTATTGGCCCTGTACTATAAATTTTTCACTAAACAGTCAATCACTTTTTCAATAACGCCTAATTTTTTATTGCTTAGAATATTTCATTACAACATTATTTCTTTTTTGTAACCTTATATGAATTTCCTTCCAGGATTTCCAAGTCCTTATTCTAGATGAAGGAGTGCTAGCATTAGCAAGGCTGTATAGGCGAGGTATTTTAGTATTTGATGATGAAGCAGATATCCGGAAGGCCAATAGGCATCAGGCTTATAGACAGTTTGTGTTGTGGACATATGGTCGATTGATTGCTGGGGATAGAAGAGTAGTACCTTCCTGCAGTGTCTGGAAGATACGTGATCGTTTCCCGGATCCTTTTGGACAATATACTGGGTTTAAACCATCAAGACTTGGTTAAGTTCAAGGCTGTCTTTTTAAGAATTTAACATCTTTAATCTTAAAGGGACTCCACTGAGGTTAAAAAAGGCTAAAACATAACCTTTGAATTTCTTACATAAATGAGCTGGGGCACTTATAACAGAAATAAATGCAAAGATAGTAAGAAATATACTTTGAAATAAATTGAAAATAGTATTTTTATATATGTCTTAGCCCGATTTTAGTGAAAAGCGTGTGATCACTTTTCATTTTGGGTCATTTATTTACAATTTGAATAATAATTCTTGGAAAACGAAGTGCGTGAATGATCTGAATTATTGCAAGAAGATTAGTGTTCTAAACCTACATCAAATGGTACATTTCTCTGGAAAAAAAAATTCAGTCCCATCATGTTAAAAAACTCAGTGGAGTCCCTTTAATCACCTGTTATGTATATTTTTGTCCAAAAAAAGATGTTTGTTCAACCCAACAGCTGTATTCTATGTATTTTTATCTTTTTCATCAGATCTTTGGACTTTGACTGTTATATTAGTCAGATCAGTAGAGCTGTTATTGATAGAAACAATATTGATATATTTTTGATATTTTTGTCTATCAATAATCGATACACATTTTAAAAAAACAATAATGTAGACTATTTAAATTCAATGACTAGAAATTATGCAAATTAAACCAAAAACATTTATAGAAACCGGTTTCCATAACTTAAGATATGATGTCGTTTGGTAATGGTCATGTTCTATTCTATGGAAGAAATTCAGTCATATTCCAAATTGAAAATAGTATATAATTTTCCCAATCCACAGGAAAAAATCCCAATTTAGTTACAAAATAAAAGTATTGGATAATTAGTTCTATAATCTTTGAAAATAAGGGCTTCTTCACTAATATAGCTGAAATATTTGAAGATGCCATCCTAGACAGTGATTATTTGCTTTCATTTATCACTGCAAAATTCAGTCATGCCCTCCCCCCCCCTTCCCAATTTTTACTGAAATTCCCAATTCCAAAAGGTGAAAGGTCATCCAGAAATATGTTACTACACCACTGAGATAGGTAAATGAAGAGGGGTCGCAAGTGTCATATGAGTACATTTCTATGTTTGGTAAAAATGTATGGCTCAAACCAGGAAGGGCCTTATCTTACTTATACAATCAAAATTTGATATTTTTGTTTGTTCAATATAGTTATTCTAGAGGGCATAGGTTTAGAGCTGTTACTTTTATTAGGTCAATTGGGGCATATTTTTTCAAAGTGGAATGCACCTTACTGTTTGATCTGTAAGACATGACAACTTTCATAGATTGAAGAAACTTTTCAAAAGAATAAACTATTTTCTTTATTCATGTGCCTAAGTATAAGGGCCAAAATTTATAAGGATGAATGCTTTTTGTATATATAAAAAAATAAGTTCTGGTTTCAAATTAATTGGTTCTTTAGATATTTGAAAAATTTTAATGTGAACAATGGCAGATAACTGTGTAAAATTAAGAGGTCAGATTTATAGGGCATATAAAGTGGTATTTTTAATCTCTAACCATGTAGTATATATAATAGATATTTTCAATGCTAGTATATATTGCTATATTTTAAGTTCACTGTTTGCACTAGACACCAAATTTCTTTTTCTATATTTCTTAATGGGGAACAAATTACAATACTGTGCATAATTTCCATCTCCCTTTTTATTTACAATTGAATGCTTCATCATTTGAAATATTTCAAATGATGAAGCATTTAATTGTAAATAAAAAGGGAGATGTACATGAAGAAGCTATATTCTCAACATAATGTTTTGCATATCTTTTATTGGCATCTATCAAGGTTTCACAAAAACATTCTATATATAGTAAGCAATTCTTAATTAGCGCAAGATCCATTCGCTGTTCTTTTCACAAAATACTAAAACTCATGTACTTTTGTCAGCAAACTTTATTTTTTTATACATTGTAATAAATACAAGTTAAAATGTCATATGTGTTTCTTATTGATATCAATGTATTGTATAATATAGCTGTAACAAATATGAACATAGGAAGACAAAAGGCTGTAATGACCTTGTATAGCTCATCAAAATATTGATAATAAAAATTTTACCAAAACCTATCCAAACAATTTGACAAGTAGAGGTGAAGTTCCTTCATTTACATTGCCAATGTAATCAGAATTGAAAAAAGATTTTTGAAAGGGAATAACCCAATGAACATGAATTAAGTAGATAAGGAGTATATTTTGTTCATGATTAGACAGATGGCAATTAATTACGAAAGACCAATATGAAAACTATATGAAATCATACATCAAAATTTCACCGGAATGAAATGAGCCGTGTCGCGACAAAATCAACATAATGGGTTTGCGACCAGCATGGATCCAGATCAGCCTGCGCATCTGCCCTTGGCCCCAAAAATTCCATTGAGTAGGTCATCTTCCGACCTAGAGTAATGCATTTGAGAAGTTTGAAGGTCAAGGGTCCATGGGTTGTTGAGTTATTGATAGGAAACTGTTTTGACATACACGGTCAATGTGACCTTAACATTGAACCCCTGACTACAAAATCAAGAGGTCATCTACTGCAGTTTGAAGGCCAAGGGCCTATGTGTTGTCAAGTTATTTTTCGGCAACAGTTTTAACCTACAAGGTCAATTTGGCCTTGTCCCCAAAATCAATAGGGGGCATCTATTGGCCAACACGGATGCACCCATGCAGTTTTAGGGCCAAGGCCCCATGGGTTGTCAAGTTATTGATTTGAAATTGTTTTTACAATGTGACCTTGACCATTGATTCCTTGACCCCAAAATCAATAGGGATCATATACTTGTCATGAATAATCCCCATACTGAGTTTGAAGGTTCTAGGTCTAAGAATTCTTTAGTTATGGACCGACCTATCATCAAAAGCAAAGCAATTTACCCCCACTTCTTTGAAGGGCGGGGGGATAATAATATAACAAATATCAAAGGAAAGGTATATTTACATATGTTTAAATTTTTCACTTGGTAATTATATAATGGCAAATGCACATAACGTCACATCTTACAATGTTACTACACTAACATAAAACTCTTTTTAGTGCATAAGGAATATTGAATGAGTCTAGTTTCAATACTGATTCCATTGAACAAGTCAAATACATGTACAATTATTATGCAAGCATAATACCATTTAATCCAACCAGTTCAATAAATTTAGTAAAGAAGCTACACGAGTATAATATTCTACCTATTACATACCAAAAGTAAGTACTGTTTACAGTAAAAATCAGTTTTCATTTACTCACTTAGTGTCACAATTACATTTAGTGCATCTTTTCCCTATTTTTGTATGAACCAGATGATGTTACGTCAAATATATGCACAGCTGTGCAATATTGTTTTATAGAGTCACAGTATATCAGAGAAATGGCTTTATCACACTCCTGCACCAGGGTTTATGTGACAAACATTAATTCATTTAAACCTAGACACTTTTTCTTCCATCAAAACCTTTGTTGGCAATGGCTCTACCGGTGCCAGGTGTGCAGCAATCCTGCGTGGATCATCCGCTTCGAGTTCTCGTTTCTTCCTCATTCCAACTGAGTCTTTGATACGCATAACAAGGGCCTTTCTTAATATGTCCTTAACATATGTATAATTTTTTTCACTTTTTTTTGGATGGGCTGTCCATCGAGAACTCTTTTTGTTCCATGTTCTCTGTAATCTAAAATGTAAAAAAGTTAATATAGTGATATAGGAGAGATACATAAATAATTCAGAAAAATGTCAACCTAATACAGGCCTTGCGAGGTTAACACAGATTAATACTTACTATCAGCTATACAAAAAATGTATTTTAAATGATATGAAACAACTGACCTTAAATGACACACAGTCAACAACAATGTAAACAAAATATTTAAATTATTCCCCCACAAAAAACAAAGTTTAGGGCATTATACGAGGGATGTCCGGAAAGTTCATATACATCTTCATTTTTTTATTGTAAAACAATACATACGCTGTACAAATTTTGTCAGCATAAAAATACATATCTAGCGAACATATTTATCAAAAATTACTGAACTGTGACTAACGTTTGTATTTTAAAAGTATTTACATACAACATATATACATAATCATGGAGCACTTTGACAACGTCAACGGCGTCAAATTAAATTCATGTTTACCAACTATTTAATTTCTTCCGATTTCAAAAAGCCATCATGGTACCTGTCTGACGTATACTTAATACATGTTATTGCTTCATACATTTCATATTTAAAATTATTATTTAAAAATAAAGATTTCACTGGTTCCCATACTGTGTGTAAGATGTCTGCCTTTTTCAAAAAAATGTTGTAACGCGATCTACGATATTTCAGCCATGCTACTTTTGGTCACTTCTGGAGCGTTTCTTATACAATATCCTGTCATCACCGCTTCTTTATCTTGTTTGACATTTATTCATTTAAACACAAGTTGCCTTTAACATTTCATGGTTAATTTTGTTTTAAAGGTAAAGATTATAATCTCAGATGGCGCCATATTAGCGTTGCTATGAAGTTAAATATCATTACGTTGCTCCGTCCGTTAATTTGACGTCATTTTTGCAACACAAAATGTACGCACCTTCATTGCCTATAATCGCCGTAAACAAGCTGTTTATTTACGTATGACATCATAATTTACACTGAATATCATGTTATACTATCCTATGATGTCACAAAATTAAAACGAGAGATTGCATTAAAATTACATCTTTTAGCAACTTTTTATTCGAGTAGCTATCATCATGAAATCAAAGTGCTCCGTGGTTCGTTGATCATGTTGCCATGGTGATCGGCGCTTTGCGAATATTACTTTTATCATTTTTTTAAATTTAGAAATATGTAGCAGATAAATACTTAAGTAAAGTATTAAATCATCATATTGATATGTCTGCTTAAAATAATTTTATAGCCTTGTCTACGAACTTTCCGGACAGCCCTCGTAGAAGCCAGCCTGTCGGTCGGTCCATACCATGGTTTCCGGATGATAACTAGAGTTTGGAATGAGTCTTGTAATCAAACTTGGTATATAGCAACCTTATGTGGAAACCCAAGTTGGATTGCTTATGAACCCCTTTTGGTCAAGGTCACTGCTACTAAAATGGCAAAGTGGTTTCTGAATTACAACTATAGTTAGGAATGAGATATTGCAATAAAAGTTGGCATAAAAAACACAATGTAGAACAAACATCACTACAATGTCAATTAATTTTCTCTGGAATTGTAAATCATCAAAATATCAATGTTAAACATACTTTACCTCAATGTTCCATCTTTGTTTACAATGTTTGGTATATCTGCGTTGTTATTATGGTCTAGGGCAGCCAATTCATTTCTTATGCGATACACTGCTGGTGTGTAGGCAAACCTTTTGGCTGCATACATAAGGATCAGCTGATGGAACCCTTCAAGATCAGCTGTACTCCTATAAAAAATGAGACATACGTTTGACATCAAATAATAATAACTCCTGACTTACAATTGAATTGAACCAAGGTTGAAACCATTACTTGCTGATACTAAGTTATATATGTGACTGCTAGCAAGTCTATTTTCTGATAATTTGTTCGATAATTTTATTTAATGCATATCACTTATCTTATTATCAGCACAATGCAATTTGTTGTATTGCATTTACTACGTTAGTATATTTTATAACACTTACAAACAACTATTCTTACTAGTGTCAATTAACATAGGATATTGTGAGCATAATTACTGTAACAAATGTATTACCTGAAGTTGAGATAGTAATGAACCTTTCCTAAAAATCTTTTGTCCATCACAACTGAAGCGAGTTCTTTCAAAACTGCACAATCCTTTCTTGGATCAAGCCAGGGCTTATTTCTGTCTTCATCAGATAAGAGTCCGTGACGACATGTTGTTTCCCCATCACCATGTGGTAATATCCAGGAGTGCTGGTTTGTTATGTGATGGAGAACACTCCTCCAGATGCTCTACAATATTTCAAAATTAAATAAAAAATCTTACTACAAAACATTTTATAAATATTTGTTTATCATAAAGGTTGGATGGTGATGTAAACCTCAATTTTAATCAACTATCACATTTAAGATATACCCTAAAAGGTTCTCACAAAATGGTATTCATTGCCAGTATCTACATCATACATAAAATACATACAAGTCATATGAAATTTTTTACCCTTACTTAATGTTTATTTTTCTTCATTCTCGTAATAAAATGTAAGAATATTTACAAGACAGCGTATGAAATTGATCTTGGTTTTGAAATTAAAATGCATACCACAAACTGTTCATATGTGCTGGCCTCCTTGCAGGCAAACCAAAAATGGTTCACAATATCCTTAGTCCATTTTCCAAGAACAGCATTGGACTTCTTCTGTGCCACCTAACAAAAATACATTATTTTTTGAAATTCTTTCATTCATAACAAATAAGCATACAATCTTGAATTTCAGCAACTGAGAAAGACTTTTTTTCATTTTCTAAAAGCTAACAAGCTAAAAAGAAAATTAAAGAAAAAAAGATAAGATTTTCCTTTTCTTTAAATTGTGTCTATTCACTTTTGTTGTTTTGTCCAAATATGAATCATTTAAATCAATAAATGACAAAATTAAGAAAATATAAGCAAAATTCAATCAATTACAGTCAAGGAATGCTGCCATGACTCTAACAATACCTCTTATTTTTGGGCGCAAAAAGAAATAACAACAGAAATAATCATTACGGTAACCTTTAACAATCTCTTTCCCAAACTTTTTGCAGCATGCCATATGTCATGGGAATGCTTAATATCAGGATAACTTGTTTCTGAAATTGATGTTATATGAATTATATAACAACTTTTCATCTAAACAACAATGTAGCTCTAAGGGAGTTGTGAAAAGAGGGGATGAATAATGATGATATATAATTTTATGAAGTGTAAAACATATAACAGATATATATTAAATGGAAAAATAATGTACTTTAGGCTAGCGAAATTGAGATCCTATGTTTTACCAGAAAAATTTCTAAGTTATGACCAAATAAAGTATACTGGTAACCAAAAAGGTACAAGTATAAATATGATAGTTATGAAATAAGTGATTTCACTAATAACTTGTACAAAACAAATAGTATTTAGTGTTACATGCATTACAATATTGATAACATTCTAAATCCTATCTTTACTTTGTACATCTGTTTTTTTTTTACATTTATTTCTTAGAAACAAAAACTTAGTTGACAAGAAATGAAGATGGATGAAAAATAGCCATGAAAATGCTCACTAAAGAAACAAAAAAAGGCTAAACTGTCACTATTTACAACAATGGTCACACTCTAAAAGTGTATGAATCATTAAATACATACTCATAATGGCTCCTATCCCAAGGTGAGCATCAGTCACAACCTCTTCAACTTCTATGTTTTTAGCTTTCATTTCCTCCATGGCCTTCGCAAAACCTACTTTCTCCATGTTTACTGACTTTCTATCAGTTGTTCTCTTGTCAAGGGTTATTAGAGTGAGAATTTTCTTAGATGTTTGCTCCATAATTGTATACGAACAATATTGGGCACAGTGCCCAGGAGAGTCATTTCTTCCATCCCCTATAAAATGAAATTTCATTGTTGTAACTAAAATGTATGTACACATTGCTCTCTGAAATAGCTTCATTACTATTCATATCTATAATACATATAAATTATAAAAGTCTAGACACCAGTCTAACTTACAAAAGTTACAAATGAAACAAGTTACATTAAAGACTTATTCCCTTGTTCCAAATGAAACTAGTTACATAAAAGACGTAATCGCCTTTCCCTTTAGAAAAAGAAAATGTAAGCAGACCATATGTACATCTCAAATCATAATTAATTAAAGACACCCACCCATAACAACAACTGGCTTTCCACTGAAAGAATCAATTACTGACTTCTGATGGTCTTTCCAATAATAATCAATTGTTGGTATCATGTATGTTGCTTGGATTCCATGAAACTGGTCGGCAGAAGGTAATTTTAAGCCAAGCATCTTGGCCCATAGGGCCAGTTTGCCATAGTTATTTCCAGAAGTCAATATACTGGCACATACAAGGAAATCTCCACTATGAATTCTTTTGTTCATGTGTGGTTGTGAACACCAATTGCTGGAGGTGTGTCCATTGCTACATACCTATAAAATGAGAAGAAATGTATATCAAATATAGAGTTATATACATTTTGAAATACTTATTTTCAGAAACACTTAATGATATTTAGTGACAGCATGACTGACAGACAATGGCACATCTATATACCTCCCTCCAACCCATCCCCCAACCTCAAGAAGGTGGGGGCATAAAAAGGAAAAGTATGGCCCTGTCATTGCTCACCCAGGTCAAGAGTGTATGCTGTAAATAGTAATTACAGTTCTGACAGACAAAAACAGATTTCACTGCCTTTGATATTAATCAATACTAATGGTTTTCTTTTCCACCATAAACGTAAACAGAAGAACAATCTTATAAATTTTGTGAAGGAAGTTTGCATAACATATGCCCAAGAAAAAGTTAACTTTAGATATCAAATATCCAAACTTGATCTACAAATCATCAATACCAAGAAGATATATCATATGAAAACTTTTATCATCAAAATGGACTGTGTTATATATTCTTTAATCTTTCTTAATGACCTAGTTTTTATTACACTGACAATGACAAATTACACTGACAATGACAAATAACACTGACAAAGACAAATTACACTGATAATGACAAATAACACTGACAAAGACAAATTACACTGACAATGACCAAAACAATCCTTGTAGCCCATTACTGAGCAATATGTGCTCAAGCGAGCTAGAATTTGAACAGTTACAGATTGCCAAATGTAAAAAGAGAACTAGAATAACCAGGTTATTGAACATACCCATTTTAGGTACAAGGCTGATCCAACAAAACTTTCTTTCACTTGGGGTAGTTCGGAACAATCTTTTCCAATGCAAGTCACAACTTTAATATTTGCAAGAGCAATGACCTGTTGAAGGAAATGAAATGCACAGAGTGGAATTTATAAGTTCCTCACATCCCGCTTCATCTGTCACTTTTGAAACACCGTCTGTTGTTTTGTCCTGAATATTTTCTTCATCTATTGGGGAGTGGCCAGCATCCAATCCAAACTCAAACTCTTCAAAAGCTAAATCATCATCATCAATATCGAAGTCTCCAGTACTGGAAAATGAATTTTCATAAATATGGGCAACACAATGGTTAATGCACATATAATATTCATTTGTAACCTTTAGACAAATTATGACATTTGTTTTTCAAATATAAATATAGTCTAACCATTTATAGCTGGAACTTTTGTTATATGTTTCATAAGCTGAAACTTTTGTACAATGTTTCATAGTACAGTCTTATTTTATTTGCTACATAAACATATATATATGTGTGAGTGTGTGTGTTTACATAAATTATTATTTGATTGAGTTTACAAGTCTACCAGACAAGCTGAATTGAATGAAATACTCACACAACTGCTGATATCTCAAAACTTGGCTCATAATCCGGGTCTTCAGAGTCATCCAGCCATGATTCATCTAATGTCACATCAAGTGTGACACTGAAATAGCAAAATCTGGTCATAAATTATGCTCATAATTCATTTTTGTATTCAAATATTCAAAAATTATACAGATTAATACATAGTACAGTAAATAAAATGGATTAAAACACAGCAGTTATGTAAGCTAATATGTTTTATAAGCACCTTGTCACTTCTGGTTTGAATCCCATCTGAGACTTAAGATTCATTCATAAATGTGAAAAGTTATACATATCAGTTGCTCAATTCATGCCTGAAATCATGCACGTATATTTCTACACAAGTAAAGATTTGGAGAAACAAAATGACATTTACTGTGTCTGGGTGACTTAAACACAAATTAACTCATATATGAAATTTATTAACTTAATTATTCAAAGATACCTGAAGGGATCAATAAAGGACTGTGGCTGAACCGTTTGAACAACAGGTCTTCCAGTTTTTGTTAAAGGGAAAGACAAGGTTAGAATAAAAACTTGATTTCAGAAAAAGAATACTATAAATAATAAATCTGCAAATTTTCTGCCACCAAATAATGATATTTAACGAATGATAACAACATTTAAATAGCTAATTTACCGATTTCTACAAATCAGTAGGCGCGGCCATGTTTGTGTATTGGCCGTATAAAAACAGGTGCGCGTGATGTCATTTCCCCACATCTAAATCTAGTAGAATCGTAGCGAAATATTCATATAATCTGGGACATACGATATCCCAGATATAATAAAGTATTGACCAGACAAATTAATTTTGACAGGAGGTGTAGAGGAGATTTTTTTGGTTCAAAATACGTAAAAATATCCTAAAATAATAAATAATAAAAAATAAAGAAACAAATAAAAAATCAACGTCTACCGGTCGCACAACTTCAGGCCAGAGATGCCCGTTACTATGTTCATTAAAGTCTCATCTTAATGTAATTCAACAATATTTCACAGATTTAATAAATACACATGTTATTATTTAACAAAGTTTCACAATCAAATAATGCAATTAAATAAACAAACGCACCAACGAATAATTGGCTGTTAATTATTGAACGGCGATAATTGTCATTATTATAAAAATCCTACTAAAACGTGTTCTTAATAGTACAGGTAATTAAATTTTCGCAGTTTGATTCTGACTTTGAAATTAAAAGGTGTGAACATATGTTATAATTGATAAACACATTTCAAAAAAATAGGCAACTCTTTTGAAAAGTAAATTGTTAACATGTCTATCAACGTATGATGCTGCGTGGTATTTATTTACATCGTAATCCTAGCCTAATATTAACTGCAGGCAAAACATTTTTATTGGCTGCTCAAAAATCTAATTTGCATAATTTATTCACACAATTGCTGGTTCTTACTACTTATGTCTTATACTGTGCATTATCCATTTTAATTGTTCCTAATTTGCACCAAATGTTCCTGTCACACTGTGTACTGACGATTTTTATTGCTCCTGTATGCCTCTGTGCCGACAGACCTTTTGATCATGCACAATGTTGCCCTGATTGGTTAATCACCCTTTTCTAATATTCTAATGACGAAATGACATCTATTTTTTACGCTTAATCAGTGAACTGAATGACCTTAGGGGAAATTAAGTTCCACACCAGTCAAATTATACTGTAAATAACAGCATTTCATAAAATAGCAACACATTTTTTTTTAGTTACCAATAATCATTTTAAATATCAAGTAGATTTATGATTTTTTGTTTTATTGGATTAAATTTACGGTAGTCAAATGCGTATCTGTGTGGGAAAGGGATTGGGTAAGTAGATAACGTGGAAAAAAGCTATAAAGAACTGGATAAACCGGAGAATATGCGTAATTACAGGGGAATGGGCAACCTGTTGCTGTTGGTACCAGTTTTGACTGGATGCCTAAATAACCTAACGGACAGTTTTGTTTTCATACGATATTAGTCTGGCTGCCGATTTTCCTGCGCCATTCTCATTTTTAGCGTCGCGTCCTTAGCAGATCTCTGCATATTGGATTTAGTTGATATTTTACGCTAAAAAAAAAACATGACCGGCGATGTACCCTATTCGGACAGCTTGTCTATCGAAAATTAAGTACAAAATAAAAGGATATATCGTCAATTTGAAGAAGTTTCTCATAGTACGATGGTTTATCTTTGAAAATTAAGCGGTCATTGCTTAAATCATGTGGCGGGATCATCAGCAAGCTTGAAAATCGGACAAATGATAATTAATGTCTCGGCGTCTTCAATTAATTAATTAAAACAATTCAGTTCCATATGACGTTTTCATAAATAATATATAATGTACGCAATAAGATTAATAAGTTCTTCATCAAGATATATTTCAGTTGTACCAGCGTGTACACCTATACCGGAAGTGGGTGTAACACGTCACAATCTCGGTCTCGTCTGTCTCGCGAGAGTGACAGAACGCCAAAATGGCGGCACCCGTGAACTTATTTCTCAAATAAAAAATAGTGTCTTAAAACACGAATTTCTCACTTATAGGATTGATGTCAACAGAAAAACTGTGATGGTACCTCTTTTTAAATCATGAATATTTATATTAGACAGACATCAATCGATCCATTCCTATTCCTTTAACATAGCTGGCTTCTTATGAAGTTCACTGTCTCCTTCACTAAAATAAGTAAAATGTAAAAGCATGTTTAACACTGTAATAATATAAAGAGTCATTACAGAATGCAAATCAAAATTACTTACATGAAATATTTTGAAAAAAAAAAAACAAACAAAAACACTGACTGACTGAGACATGACTTTCGACATTTTTTTGAAAGATTTCTAAAATTAAGAATGGAAAATCTAGGAAAATAGAGATAAATTTACAAGCAAAGGAAATGAAACTGATACAAAATAAAAAAAGTAAAAATGTATCTTACCCATTACTATTTTTCTCTTCTTGAAGTTCTTCCAATCCTGATAACTCTGGTTTATCCCTACAAAAACAATTAGGAAATGAAACTGATACAAAATAAAAAAGTAAAAATGTATCTTACCCATCACTATTTTTCTCTTCTTGAAGTTCTTCCAATCCTGATAACTCTGGTTTATCCCTACAAAAACAATTAAAATGGTTCATACAATTCTAATTCAGTTCCTCTTTCAGATTAAGTGTAAATGTTAGTGGCTTCAAATTTTACAAAAATGATGATAAAATTTGAAAATATTGTACTAAGAGCAAATGTGTGTATTATTGAAGTTGTAGCAATTTAATGACTTACACATCAGTCAACCCAGATTCAGATGATATTTCTGAAACTGTGGACCTGGAAAACGCTGGGTGGTACTAGCTGATGTGGATGTCATTTGTCCTGATGTTCCTGGAAAGGGCATCACTACATGTGGACTGCTACCAGTGGTTGTTGCTGGAGGTACTTGTGCTGTTGTATATCTAAAAGTGTTTTATAAAACATATTCATTTATGCATATTTTCTTTTATCAAAATATACATGGATACTCATAAAAAATGGGCTTAATATACTTGATGTATGTACATTTATTTACTGAAACATATATTATAATATAACAAGCAATTATCATAGTATTGCAAGCAATCCATAAGTCCCCTACCAGTTAGAAGCCCATCAACATTCTGAAGAGCCATTGGCCATTCACTTATGTTTCATTTTTTCTCTATTTTAAGTAAACTTGTTTGAAAATTTCTTTAAAAGTGATCACAGGAAACAGTTTTTATGAGCAGACAGACAGACGGACTGAAGGACACTCTAAAGTTAATATTTGAAACATCCCTGTTACCAAAATATAACATTTTAAAAGCAAAATTCTTAAAGAGGAGATAACTCTTGAATTAAAGATGCAATTTCATAAAAATGTTCAGCTCTTTTTGACTAATCACAAATATTGTTATATTTGCCATGTTTTAAGCCTATTTGTTGCCAAGGCAACTAATATTTTTTTCAAAATAGGAAGAACAGATAAAATAGATAAATAAAGAATCCCTAAAGAAAGCCCAACACGGCAAAATTGAAAATTTTGCAGGCTCGGTTTAATTGAGCCTGTTCATGGACGGTACTGGAAAGTGCAAGTTACCGTCCACGCCCCCTAGCACCGGCTTAAGCAGAATTCAACATTTAAATATGAAAGGGTAGAATTTTGAATTTAGAAACATCCACAGATGTGTTCATACGGCGGTTATCATGGAACCTTCAATGTGACACTTCCGTGCCATTCCATGAAAAGCGGCGTATGGTCCCCAAGTAATAAAAAGCGTGTGCCCTAAACGAGAAAACAATGGGCGGAACTAAATAAAACAGAATTTTGAAAGGGGATCAGAGGTTATGAAGACATGCATAATCTCAACACTGCTATCTACCCATATGTCAAGTTTCATAAAAATATTTCCAGTACTTTTTGAGTTATCACTGGATTCAGTTTATGTGTAAAATTTGCCATATTTTCAGTCTATGTGTTGCCATAGCAACCAGAATTGTCAACATAGGAAGAAAAGAAAAAGACGTGCATAATCTCAAGACTGCCATCTACCCATATGTCAAGTTTCATAAAAATATTTCCAGTACTTTTTGCTTTATCACTGGATCCAGTTTATGTGTAAAATTTGCCATATTTTCAGCCTATTTGTTGCCATAGCAACCAGAATTTTCAGCATAGGAAGAAAAGAAAAAGACGTGCATAATTTCCATACTGTCATCTATCCATATACCAAGTTTCATAAAAAATATTTCCAGTACTTTTTGCGTTATCACTGGATCCAGTTTATGTGTAAAAATTGCCATATTTTTAGCCTATTTGTTGCCATAGCAACCAGAATTTTCAACATAGGAAGAAAAGAAAAAGACGTGCATAATCTCCATACTGCCATCTATCCATATACCAAGTTTCATAAAAATATTTTTAGTACTTTTCAAGTTATCGCGGGATCCAGTTTTGCGGACGGACGGACTGACAGACAGACGGACGGACGGACGGACAGACGGACGGACAGACGGACGGAGGGTAAACCTAAAGTCCCCTCCGGTAAACCGGTAGGGGACTAATAATTGCCAATGAGAAACACATGACTCTCATGCTATATATATATTTATTCTTATTCTGCAAAAGGTTGTAAATTTTGTTACAATTTATTTCATGATAATTATTGGGTGGCAAGTTACCCTAAAATATTAAAATTTGTGAAAATGTTATAGAACTTTATCAACTTGCTACATATCTAAACATATATATCTTCCTCAATTTCTAACTACTTCTATATTTGTGGTACATTTATGCAGTGGTACGTTCCCTACATGGTACGTAAACTCCAAGTTATGATCTTAGAATAATAGATAGGCCATATATAAATTTACTATTTGAAGTAAAAACAAAATAGCAGACAAGTTGACTACAGGCCTAATTTCACCAAAATGCCAAAAGTGTCTGTGATAATTACCTTGTTACAGTTTTTTTGTTTTTCAACCCTTTAGATAATCAAACTGAATAATCAATAATTTTCGGAATGAGACAAAAGACTTCACAAACCAATGTCAACGCTTACGAAAACTGCTTAGTGCACAGGCGCTAGTCACACAATGTTCGAAATTAGCAGTAGTCCTATAGCCCCTGACTACTAAATTTCTCCTCGGGCTACCAACTTTTCAAGGTAACAAGCCCGGCCAGGCTACTGTATTTTCATAGGCAATATAAACTACTGTTTTGAACAAATGAATCGTGCTAGTGAGAAAAATCACTGTAGTGAAATGTCTTTTGGGCTAGTGAATATTCCAATCTGGTAGTCCGACCAGCCTAGTGGTTTCAAATCCGAATTTCTTACACTGGTCACATAATAAATTATTTTACATAATCGGCCTATATATGTATATTAAGATATTATAGTATATAGCCCATAAAGAGCATAAAACATTTGTTACAAACAAATGTGGCTTAGGCCGAATCATATGGGGGACGAATCAGCATTTGAACATTTAATTTTTTTCCGAATCATAGGGGGGACGAATCACCATTTGAACATTTAATTTTTTATCAATAAATGCTTAATGTTATAATAATTACACTGATCTACACACGAGTAACATGAATCTGAGAGACACGTTGGTAAAAGTTTAAACAAACGAACCTGTCGAGCAAATGTTTAGCAAATTTGGCATCTGTTTTAATCCCACATGCAATTTTCAACTGTCGCCACCGATGTATTTGGCTCCCAACATGCACTCTTGCCTTGGACCATTCGATTTTCCTACGCTTTTTTGCCGAATCTGTCACTTTAGAGACTCTTTTCCTTTTTAATTTCTGTTTTACTTCCGTCGCATTTCCTTCGCGTCCGCCATTGTTTTGAATTCGAACCTCATTAATATTCAAACTCCCAATGTTGCCGAGACTATTTCGATCGTTTCCGTATATGATCGGTAAATTTGCGCGTTCACTTCGTCGCTTAAAAAAGTCGGCGGTTTTTTAAGATTTTAGTTATTTTCATATATCTTTTTCTCTTCCAATATTATGAATTTCCTGGTTATTTTAATGTCAAATGTTATATTATTTTAAAGTGTTTTATCATACAAGTGTCTGTCTTTGTTAGCAAACATGGAATTAAAGCCGAATATATCTTTAAATACAAAACGACTGCCACATTTTGTTTTATAAATATAACGTTACAGGTAAATTCAGATGGATACAATCAGAAATTTCATAGAGCCGCGTGAGTTTTTTATATTTTAATCGTTCATTCGATGTCTGAAAGAAATTATAATGACACAGTTTTCCCAGAAAGTTTATAATATAATTATAATGTATAGCAGCATCGTAAATCAGTTTTAATTGACAGTTTGGAATAACATAACGAGAATAAAAAGACTCCTACTTACTGACCAAAACATAAAATCATTTATTAGACATTTGTCATTAATTCATAAAATTGACGTTAGGTTATAAATTGCTGTTTAATTGTATCAACCTTCCACAAGAACAATATCATACGATATGTCCTTTTTGTGTAAAGTACATGAATTAAAACACGTACTCGATGATGCCATCATAACTTAATGTTAATTATTATTTCATCATTACTTACTAAACTACGCAATCCTTATTCATTTCGTTTAAGCTGATCTGTTGTCTTTGGCTGCACTTTGTAGACTCTGTCTTTGAGATAGCCCCAAAGAAAAAAACACAAAGGACTGAAATCTGGAGAGTGGGGCGGCCAAGTGAATTCCGTCTTCAGAGAGATGAATCGTCTGTCAAATGTTTTTCAAGCCATTCAAGAACTTTCTGGGCCTTGTGTGTAGCGGCACCATCTTGTTGGAACCATGTTTGTGTCATATTTACTCCTTTCCGACGAAGTGCACGCAGGAACTTGTATTATAGAAGAGACAAATAGCGGTCACTATTGATTTTCCCGTATTTTACGTCGCATTCAAAATGAAGTGTCTAGTTAATTTTGGTATAAGCATTTTGTTTGTAGCTATAGAATCAGTAAAACAACAATTATTTGAAAGTGTATCACATATTATGAAACACCCTGTACTGCGTGAAATATATAAAACTATGTCAGCCTGGCATCAGCACATCAGTTACTTCATGAGGAAAGAATTATGTTCATATCTTTCCTGATTATCATTTATATTTCGTAAATAAGCGTGACAACCAATCTAGATCCAGGTTAACTAGAATTTGCAAAAAAAGCAATTGAAGTCATTCTCATGATTAATCTAGTCATTGCTGTCATATATAATCAGGCCAGTGATACTTTGCCAGGTAATTGAATTACGTTATTATTTATTCATTGTTTTGATTATAGCATAAAGTACTAATCATTATCAAGGTTTAAAGCCAGTGTATTGCAGATACGTTAAGGGATGTTATTGCATTACTACTATATAAGCTATTTACGATAATGCAAAACATATTCCTTCGACTTATAGAATAATAATAATAATAGTAATAATAAATATAAATATAATAATAAAATAATAAAAATAAAAAAATCTTAGATTGCAAAAGTCAAGTTTTGAAAGTGACACAGTTTAAGGTATCAATTACTAGTATATATTATATATGTATTTGCGTTACATTTGTTTTTCGTGTGAGAAAGTATATCTGGTTCCTAGTATATATAAAATGGTGTATATTATCACTTAGTATTCGTAATTCATGTAATCAAACAAGTCAAACATTCATGATATACAAAGGCTTCAATTATCATAACCTAAATTTGACATTCATATATGTATTTTTATACAATTATTAACTAGTGAACCATTGAATATGATGTGATATTCACCGGCAGATGACATATTGACCGAGGCGATAATTGTTTTATTATATGAATAGGCTAAGAAATGTAAAGAAAATCACAAATGTACAACCTTATATACATGTACAAAATTTTGTCTCATTGAAGCACGGGGAAAAAGACGCACGTGTTAGGCGTGCAACGACTAGTACGCGAACGCTGCGCGTACAAAAATAATTCAAGTTTATACTCGTCATTGTGGTGTAGCCTTTAAGAATAATAGTAAAGTAATGATATTTGAATCGAGAAATATGCAATAAAGAACAAAAATCAACAATTATTCTTTAATTAACACGTGTAATTAACAGTCTACGGTGTATGATCATTGAATATGAGTCTCAATCTATTTTTAGACTGGGAAAATCCAATTCAACCAGTTAATATGATGCTGCACCCAGTGAATATGATTTTATAAAAAGTTCTGTGGACTACTGTTTGGACCAATGAGATTGCAGCTATATTTAGATCATATAATAAATCGTTATTATAAGTATTTTAGACATTTTATTACGCTGCAAAGTAAAGGTATATTGTTATGTTGAATTCTGCTTATTTACATTGACGGATTAAATGGAAACTTCAATTCACCACCCTTATAACATTGAAGCATTTTATTTTCTTTCGTTTGAAACGACCTCTAAGGATCTCATTTTACTATTTTGCTTTGAAACAGAACAGAACCATGAAATGCAACATAACATAATTATAGTCAAGATGACGAAAGGATGTTGTCTCGAAACTTTTTTCGGTGTTCAAATTCTTATTAAAGTAAATAGTCCAATAAATTTTTACAACAACAAGCCTCGCCTTCAATTTCCCTGAATTTACCAAATGTCCACCTTTCTCGTTATGGGATATTATTTCTAGCCAAATATATTTATACTGAATTCCAATTCATCTATTTATCTGCGTCTAGAATCTTAATAGAAGAGACCACTAACTATAAAAGAACGTAACTCCTAGGTTAACTATCCTAATAGACTGATTTCTGAACGTTACTTGGCTTTACATTTTGCAATATATATCATGAATTACAATGAATACAATTAATCACCCGAATAAAAGGTAAAATTGGCTCACTTATTATGCACATATTACAAATTCATAAACATGCTACGTAATTCATCCTTCGGTGTGGCTCTTGATACCTTTTACAAGTATAATTACAACTTGCCGCAAATTTTCTCGCAAATAATCTACAGGCCAGTGATTTCTGTGTTATGTTAACTGATCAGTCTTGAAAAAATTGCATCTTATGCATCACTCAAATGTATGCAAGAAGCTATATTTTATTCATTTGTATAAACGTTTAATGTCTATTTGTCTTGGAAAATTTTATTTGATATATGTCGTTGTTCTTATAAATGTCTGATTTTTATAGCGTGCTCAGGTTTCCAAAACTAATATTATATCAGTCGAGCAATGATTGATTTAACATCAAAACGAATTGCTTTGTAAATCAAAATGCATTTATTTTCGCGCACATTTAGTCGTGATCAGAATGTAACTTAAGAAGGAATAATTATTGTCTTGCTTATAAATTGTACGGAATTTATCTTGGAATAACAACATTTAGTATCATTTTTGTCCACTGTACAAAATGCTAATTGCTAATTTAAATATTCAACTGACATGTTGCCCTTGTACTATCCTGACTATGATGGATAGTAATCGAAAGAATGAACTAAAGTTATGGTTATTTTAAATATAATTACTTATTATTCTTTATTATTATCATTATTATAATTTTTATTATTATTATTATTATTATTATTATTATCATTATTAGTATAATTATTATTATTATTATTATTATTTACTTATTTCTATTGTCAAACTAACAAGATAAATTGATCCATCTGACAAACAATTTCACATGTCATTCCAAATTGAAACTACCCGAACTTCTAATTTATTTAAAAATGATATGTTTATCTCTATGGGGATGAATAAAGAATATGGCATATAACTCATATAAACTTAATAAGTTATTCTTGGTGAACTGAACAGCTGACTGTAATGTTTGGTCATATGTGACCGGAAGTTCGTTCTGACTTTGTGTATTTGAGAATATGTGTTTACTTTGATTTGTTTGCAGTTAAATATCACGTGAGCACAACACTTGATTCAATAGCATATGATGTAGTTAAAACCCAATAAAACTGTAAAACCTAAATTGTTTATCTCTAAATCACCCATTATTTTATCTTATTAACATCATCTACGAATACTTGTTTCAATATCACTATACTTTCAAATGATAGCGAGTCTGCAATTTTCATATAATTGTATTGTTCCACTGCTTCAGTACGGTCACCAACTTTTCAGATTTTTTATTATTTTTGGATAGATATGATAAGTATCCCATTGTGAAATAAAAGAATTTTCACCAGTTAAGGCAATCCGTAATGCATATTATTCTATAAGTAGTTATTTACCACTGCGTGTCAGAAGTAAGCTTAAACCATACTAGGTGCATGTATCAAAGCTCAAACTCATCGTTGTATTTCTATTGACTAAATAAAGGTCAAAATGCTTTCAGAACTGTTTTGTTTGTCATTTGATTAAAACTGCACAGTGACGTTTTTTCACTGCACAATAATTGTAAGCAATGCACAGTAAGTTCGCTTGCTATTCCTATGATTTACGTATACCATACCAATAATATTTGCTGTTATTGATTATGATGGCAGCAAAATGTCATGAATTTGCAATACCATGCAATTTACTACGTCATCAATATTGCACTAAGTACAGAGTTATGTTCAATGCTTATGTTTTTTGTTTGCATACTATTAAACACTTTAGTACATTCTTTCTTGACAAATAATTCTCATGTTTTGTAAAAGTTGCATTGCAATTTCTGTAAGATCTCTGCTTCACCTGCTGTTTTGCAAGATTTAGTAATGGTACGATTATTAAGTTATAGTTTTGATGGAAGTTATTTGTTATATTTATTGACTATAATACAGTGCAATCTGAGGTTTTATGTGTATAAATGATT